TAAAACAATAAAGTGGCAGAACTTGGTGAGTCGATCACAAACTACCTAGATCACTGTATGTCCAAAAGAAACTGGTAAATGCGTGATAAAATCCATTGATAAGTCTTCCCATACTTGATTTGGGATGGGTAGAGGTTGTAGAAGGCCTTTCTTTTTCTGTGTTAAATATTTTTTTTCTAACAAGTCGAACAGTGTCGAACAAATTTTTTTGTGTCGCTGTAGATGTCGGGCTAGAGAAAAGAGGAAGATAAACGAGCTAAGGTTGGTTGGAGCCCGGAATGGCCAGTTGAGGGGGTGGAATGAAATTCGGTCAGGATATTATTATGGAGTTCATCAACCAGAGGTATGTATATTTTGTTCTTATAGTAGAGGAGTTCATCTTTGATGGAGTAGAAATGGTGTGTATCTGGTCCAGCTAACACTTTATTCATGATAGCCTGACTTCTATGTCTGTTTTGTAGTATTGTCGAAGTTGATTGATGAGGAGTGGAACGGGTGAGGAAATGGACAATAGCATGGCTTCTGCTTCAATATGGATTCGGCTAAGGGAATCAGCAACTTGGTTAGATTTTTCAGGTTTGTAAAAAATTTCAAAGTTGAAACCTTGAAGCTTAGCAGTCCATTTCTGCTCCTCAGGAGTTTGAATAGTTTGGACCAATAAGTTCTTTAAAATCTTATGATTAGTGTAGATGTGAAAATGTCTTCCAATTAAATACTGACACCACTTTTTGACAGCTTCGGTTATGGCATACATCTCGCAGACGTACACAGAAGCAACTTGGAGACAGTTGCAGAGTTTCTTACTGAAGAAGGCTAAGGGATGCCCTGTTGAGATAAAATGGCGCCAATCGCAACTGCAGAAGCATCTGTTTCGAGCACAAAAAGTTTAGAGAAATCTGGAAGATACAAAACTGGTGTTACAGTCATTTGTTGTTTAAGTGTCGTAAAAGTTGCCTCGGTAGATGTACTCCAAACTAATTTATTTGAACGTAATAAATCGGTGAGAGGAGCAGCGAGAGAGGCGTACTGACGAACAAATCGTCTATAAAACCCGGTGTGGCCTAAAAAACCCTGAGTGTCGTGAGAGAACATGGCCTCGGCCAGTTGATGATTGCTTGAATCTTTTTCGGATCTAGGGTTACACCATCGCTTGAAATGATATGCCCTAAATACTCAACAGTCGGAACAACAAAAACACATTTTAATAATTTGGCATAGAACTTGTTAGATAATAATAATTCTAAAACCAATTTCAAATGAAAAACATGGTCTGATATGCAAGAACTGTAAATTAAAATATCATCAAAGAAAACTAAAACTAACCTCCTTAAGTATGGTCGAAGCAAGTCATTCATTGCCGATTGAAAAGAACTAGGAGCATTAGTAAGACCAAAAGGCATGACCAAAAACTCGTAGTGCCCGTCAAACATTCTGAAAGCAGTTTTGTGCGTGTCCTCTGGCCCAACCCTGATCTGGTGGTAGCCAGATCGTAGATCAATTTTTGAAAAAATTGTTGCCGATCCCAATTCATCAAAAATTTCATCGATTGTGGGTATAAGAAAACGTTCTTTAACTGTTATCGCGTTTAAAGCTCTATAATCTACGCAAAATCGCCAAGAGCCATATTTTTTTCGAACTAAAAGAACCGGAGAGGAATAGGGACTGTGGCTAGGTTTAATGATGCCCCCGTGTAACATGTCATGGATGATGGTTCTCATGGCTTCTTTTTGTGAGTGGGGGTATCTGTAGGGTTTAACGTTGATGGGGTATGTGTTAGGGAGTAGGGGAATGTGATGATCATGTGGCCTTGCTGGGGGAAGGCCTTGCGGTAACTGGAAAACTGACTCATAAGATTGTAAAAGTGATGTGATTTGATTGGGTAAGGAAGGTTGTGTAGAGTCAAGGGTATGATGGCTGTTTGGTGAAGGGTTAGGTTGGTACAGTAAGAGATGAGTGGAAGCGATTGAGTCGGTATGGACTAGGTGGCAAAGTTGTTGGTAAGAAGAGTGAGTAGGAAGAGTTTTTGGGTCACCTGTGATGGAAATTTCATTGTTGTTATAATTGAAGGAGATCTTGGGTATGGAAAAATCAGTGAGAAGGGGGCCAAGTGTTCTTAGCCATTCCATGCCAAGGACAACGTCAACGCCTTCAATAGGGATTAGGTGGAACGGAATGACAAAAAGGTGGTCTTGTAGGGTAATAAGGACTTGGGAACAGAGGCCCGAGCATGATAGTTTAGAACCATTTCCAACCATCATAGAAAAATTTAGGATAGGTTTAGTTGGGAGTTTTAAGTGTTGGGCGATGCGAGGTTGTAGGATATTGTGGGTACTGCCCGTGTCAATCAGAACTGTAACCGTGATGCCATGGAGTAAACCTTTAAACTTAAGGGTTTTGGGAGAAAAACGGCCACTAAAGGCTTGGGGAGAGAGTTGGAATTAAGTGTCTTCAGGTTCCACCGCTGGAGCAGGGATATCGTTACTGTCTAAATTATCTTAAGTAGTAAGATCGTCCTCATCCTCCATTAACAATAGGAACTTTCCGGTTGAACATTTATGGCCCGGTATAAACTTTGCATCACAATTAAAACAGAGGCCTTGAGCGCGACACTCTTGAAGTTGAGTGTTGGAAAGGCGTCGGATGGGAAGTTTAGATGGTTGGGATATGGATAGGTTTTTGTGGTTTGAGCTGGTTGGGGTTGTGACTGATGGAGCGGAATTAGGTTTGTTTGAAGGATAGAAGGAAGGTTTTTGATATTTGGGTTTTGAATCCTTTAATTTGGATTCAATCAGCTTAGCTAATCCAATAGCCTACGAAATCGAAACAGGTTTATAAATGGCGATCTAATTTTATATCTCATTTGCCAACCCCGAAATGAAACAATTCAGAATGGCGTCTTGGGATAAACCAACAACTTGAGTGCCTAATTTTTCGAACATAGCTTGGTATTCTGCGACAGAGCCTGCCTGCTTTAACTTAAATAATTCGGCCTGATGATTAGCATAAGTGGATGGGCCGAAACGCAGTTCCAACGCTTTAGTGAAAGATGACCAATCTATTAAAAGATGACTTTGATGCATCCATTTGAACCAACATAACACTTCAACTTTCATATAAAATGACATCATAGACAGTCTGTTGTCAGGAGGTAATTGGTAAAATTCAAAAAATTGGTCAGCCTGAAATAACCATTCCAAAGGGTTGGAGCCATCAAACATAGGGAGTTCTAATTTAAGGGTACGAAAAGGGGGAAGAGGTGTAGTTGGTTGAAGTGGGGGAAAGGACATGGGTTAAAACATAGGAAAATTATAGTTCTGGGGAAAAGGTAAGGTGCTGGGCTGAGTGAGATAAGGTGAAGAGAAAAATCGAGGAATTTGGGATGGTGTAGGGCGTAAGGCTGCAATGGTTATTGTAGGGAGATGGGGGTTGTTAGAAAAAGAACCCGAGTGTAGCAGAGGGGTGTAGGGGGTTGTAAATTAGGGAAAAGATGAGGAGAGGTTGAGTGAGTAATAATGGGGGTGGTATGGGTTGTAGGCATAGGAGATGAATGTGGTATATGAGTAATACCTGAAGAGGAAGCCACTGCTGTTTGTGTAGTGGTAGCATGTTGTTGTTCATGTTGAAGCACCGGTTTGTTAAGCAATCCCATGATACTGTCATACCGAGAATTTGAAATTTGCTTCTCATTGTCCATAGGGGTTTGTATGAGTTTCAAATCTGCAGAAGTTTTATCAAACCTCTCATCCATTTGCTGTTGTGTTCGGTTTATTGCATTATCGAGATGAATATGGGCTGTTTGGACAACTTTTTCTATGATATCTCTAGGGTTTGGGGGTTTGGGTGGAGGAGCCATGAATTCAAAGAAATGAAAGCACCAATTGATAGAAGAGGAATTTTCAACAATAATTTCTAGATCTAGGATTTTCCATAAGACAGCACAAAACTAGAGGAAAGATAAAAACATAACAATTATCTTAATAATATCTGCCCTCCCTCAAAAGGGTAACCAAGATTTTAAATACAACCAAAAATCTAATTGGGTTACTAACAATTAGGCCCAAAAGATAAAAATACAGAATTAAAAATAATAAAACAAACTACTGCATTTCATAATCTTGCATCCGCTCTGGTTGGGCTTTAATTCGTGTGAGCCTGCTAACAGAGTTAATATCCTTAAAACGATTCAGTTTATAGTAGATATTTATCTTCTGTCTTTTTATTCGATGGAAAGACTTTTTATACTTGTTATGTCCTTAAGGATTATTTAACGAGTGTACATTCAAATTTTATATTTAAATGGTATGTGATGATGTTCACCGTCCTCTCCTACTATCGTGTAACGTTTCTTCTATCATTTTTTTTATAACTTTTATGTAATTATGAAATTATTTTGAAGCTATCTGTTCATGTCGTGATTAACACTCTCAATAAATTGAATCTGATCTGTTCATGTCGTGATTAACACTCTCAATAAGTTGAATGTGATATGTTCATGTCGTGATTAACACTCTCAATAAGTTGAATCTGATCTCATCTATCTGTGTCCGACATGTCATCTATCATCACTCCCATAACTGAAATCCCGACAAAATTGTCCAACTTATTCATATTATTCATACTAGTGTAATAGCAAATTTAAACTTCCTAATCTGCAATAAATATGCAATTGCTAATTGAGCTAAATTAATAAAAAAAGTAGAATGTATAATTTTTTTATAATAAATATTTGTATAATTACTCAAGGTTGGGTCTAAAGAGACAAATTTAAATAAAAAATGGGTGGAGTGTGCATCCGAATCCGATGGTTAGTTACAGTTACACTAGTATATATATATATATATATCATCATCACATGAAGGATGGAATCCCTAACATATTTACAGAAATTAACAAAAGTCTGGTCTAATTTGATTTACGTCTCTATCTACAATGTACATTGAAACAAACTAGTTAAGGATTTTCCTCTGTCTCTATCTACAATGTACATTGAAACAAACTACTTATGGATTTTCCTCTGTTGTTGGAGTTGGAGGAGTTGGTGGTGGACTTATTGAGCTTCCTGAATTTACCAACTGTGGGTCGCTCATCACTTCCTGCAAAATCATTACTTTTTCTATTATTATTCATCATCGCCTGCATCATTTAAATTCAATTTAATGAAATCAATCAAACCTGCTGCACCGAAGCTTCTTCACTGAGGTCTGGAAAAGTTGCAGCCTTCCTACAACTCATGCCTCCTGATAAAAATATGGGACCCATATTTTCATCAGCAAAGTCTCTAAGTTTAACGAGCTTAGGCATCACTTCTTTCGCAAGGTCTGGCCGATCTTTTCGCCTCAGCTGTGCACACTCCACCGCTATTTCCGCAAGGGAGAGGGCTTGTTCAACAGGCCAGTTAGGGAGACATGGGTCAAGCATTTTCTCAAATGTTCCATTCTCAATCGCCTGCTCTGAATGGTGAGCCAATCCCATCGGATGTCTGCCAGTCAATAACTGTAGAAATATGATCCCTAGAGAATAAACATCCGACTTCACGCCAAGCATTCCTGTTTGCTGATACTCCGGATCAATATAACAGAAGGTTCCCGCTGCCGATGTCATGCGACACTGTGTTACGTTATCCGCCACTGCAGGGACCAGCCTTGCCAATCCAACATCACTAATTTTACATACATAGTTCTGGTCCAGCAAAATGTTTCCGGGTTTCAAATCACGATGCACCAGAGGTTCCGGCTTCGTCTGATGTAGGAATAGCAACCCTGTGGCTATCTCTGCAGCAATCCGGAACCTTAACTGCCAAAACAGAACCTTATCTTTCTTTTTTCGAGTCAGACATTCTTCTAAGCTTCCATTTGCCATATATTCATAAACCAATATGCCATACTCTGGACACGCTCCTAGAAGAAGCACCAAGTTTGGATGACGCATACAGCTCAGTATGTCAACCTGCACAATCAACCGAAATTAACATGTCATTTTCCATTTCTCATACTGATTACCTCTTGCAGAAATTAACATGTCATTTTCAATTTCTCATACTAATTACCTCTTGCTGAAACTGAGATTTCCCTTGAGCTGCATCCGGACGTAAAACCTTGATGGCCACTGGGGTGTGATCAAGGTAACATTTATAAACAGGGCCATAACCACCTTCCCCAATTATTTGTTTTTCAGAAAACATGTGCGTGGCTACTTCGATCTCCTCAATAGAGTATCTCCTATATCTTACATCAGTTTGGCCTAAATTATCCAATAGCTTCCTCAGTTCCTCGGTTTCTTTACTAGATTTAACTTCAACCGTTGATCTTCGTTTTAATTCTACATTTGCAATCTTTCTAGCTGCTTCAGCTGCTTCCATGGCTGCCTTACTTCTTGCTCTCTCTCTCTCTGCAATTGCCAAAGCAGCTTCTTGGGCCAACTGTGCCTGTTCTAATTTCTTTTCTTCCTCCAATTTCCAGTGGCTCATCTCCATTAACTATATATGTAGCAAATACCAGTTACAATCACAATATCTAATCTATAAAGAAAGAAAAGAGGAACTATCAGATTTTACCTTTTGTTGTGCTGTAAGTGCTTCTCTGCACGCAGTACTGTACATGTCCATAGTTTGTTTTAACTCAAGCTTCAGCCTCCTCATATCAGCTTCTGCCTCATCCTAAACGGTTTAGCAAAAGGATGCGGATCCCATTAGTATTGTTGGCTACTTTGATTCTACTTGGTTGGGTTTAGAAATATGATTAAAATTGATCTCTAGAAGAGCCTCATGATATAAATGAAGGGTATCTAAGTATAGTTAATTCTGATTGTCAATTGAGATTTGGGATCACATATACACATGTGCATGTTAATTAGAAAGTGCAATGCTCACCAAGGTCTGAGATGAACATGATGTTCTAGCGCTTTCAAGTGTAAAGGAGGTATCCGGCGAACCGGGGTCATTGAACTTGAACCCCAACCGGTTGGATCCGAAGCTACGATCTGAACTGGTAGAAACCCGCGAAGTTCGAGCGGAGTCCATGTAATCGTAAATAGAGGATGAACAAGCACTGCTTGGCCTCCCAGAGCTTACGAATGTTATGTCCGTATCTGATTCTGTGAAGTCCATGCATAGCATTCCACTGGTGCCTCTTCCTGCTCTTCCAAATGCAGACCTGCAGGAAACCAAACCATGTTACAGAACAATTCAGCAAGAAAAGGAAGAACCTTATATGCTCGGAATTGATTTTCTATAAGTATACTTACTTCATAGAGTCATCCTGCCAGCAATGAGGTTTCATTGACGGCCTGTCTGTGGCATACATGGCATACATACATGTTATCAATTTAGAAGAACTAGAACAGATTATTTAGATTATTTACAGAAAGAAAGAGACAAACCTCTCAAATTCATACGTTTGGAGCATATCTGATCCGCAGGTTGATTTATATCATGATTATTTAGATTATTTATATGAATGAGAAGCGGAGAGGTATGTGGAGCTGGACGAGAAGCCGTCCGAACAGACGAGACTTTCCCCTTAGATAAGACATAAACAGTACAGAAATCGGGTGCCCCCTTTGATATGTTACTTGGGGTAGGGGACGACTTAAATCTGCACAAAAAAGAAGGTCTGCTCAAGTTTAAGAAAGGAAGAAGTAATGGAACGTATTCGGGTATTGACATGACAAGATGATTGTCCTGACTCACCTGATAAATCCATGCTTTGAAGGTGCACCAACCACCAAATTCTCAATTGCAGCATAAGCGACATATTCGGTTACTGCCTTGACAATATCATTATCCTCAAGTAGAACATCAAGACAATGTATCTAAGAAAATGTAGAAATAAACAATTAAGGATGAATAAATGGAAAGGTAAGTAATAATAATTAAGGATGAATGAATGGAAAGGTACATCTTTTCGTGTGCAATAGCAATGGAAAGTAAGAAAGAGATCTCTAGTAGCATTATCAATTTGGGATCGCTGTGGAGATGAAGTATTACTGTTAAAGTTACAAATAATGGCGTCATTGCTAGCTCCTGAAAATTCAATAGAATTGAGATTGTGTTGCAGAGAAGAAACATAATGCGTTAATTAAATAGAATACAATATAAGCGAGTTACTTGAAGAAGAAGAAGTTGGATGAGAAACATGAATTAGAATAACGGTTTGGCCTCTGGTGAGAAGAGTATCAGCAGCCCATTTAAGAGCATATTGGCTTCCTTTATCTTTATCGATAGCGACGGCAACCAATCCATTACCGCCTCCTTTTTTAATCCCTGAGGCTGCTTTACCATGATGATGATGATGATGATGATGATGAACCCACATTTCTATTTCTTTTTCTTTTTTTCTGCCACACAACACTGCTCTAATTTCATCTCATCAACCACAAACCTCTCTATTCTTGTACACCCAAACCGTTATACAAAATTGTTTTATAAAAATATCCATAATTTATGCCCAATCAATCAATATTCTCCTATTTTAGTTCACACAATACCTCAAATATATTTTCTACTCTCTTTCCGTTCCTAACACAACAACGCTCAACCAAATATCTCTTTCCGTTCCTAACTCAAAAACGCTCAACCAAATATCTGTTTCCGTTCCTAACACAACAACGCTCAACCAAATATTTCACACCGACCAACGTTTCTTTTTTCTTTCTTTCTCCTATTCTTCAACATTCTATACTACTAAAACCGCATTAATCTTCACGCATCTTTCTAATCTATCCAATTCTTTTATATTTATATAAAAACTTTATATATATATATATATATATCCACTTCACTATAAACATCAGTTTTTTTATTAGAGAATTTTTTTTTACCTTACATATTTCTTGCACACTATGCGAAATTTCAAATATACTCCTTAATTTTAGAGATATATCTCCGGATGCACTATTTGTAAATTCAACATAGAATATTCTGAATAACGCCTTATATATTGAGTTTAATATGTTCCGAAGATGCATTTCCGAAACAAATCCGTAGTTATATTTTTGAAAAAACATCACAATCAGTTTCAACAGAAAATGAACTTTCTAAAATACAATTGACATTCATAATATAAAATGAACATTACAATGATCATTTCAACAGAAAATTAAATACTTCATTTCAATATCATCTTTAGGATATCTTCGACCGATCTTCGTAGCGTCGCTTCTAACTCGAGCAAAAATTGCTATTCGAAACCGAAATATGCATCCTGTTGCAACTACGAAAAAGGGCTGGCGGAAACAGACAGAAGAGTCGCCATCGAACGTTATTTATCCCAAAGAGAGGGAAAGGAAACGATCGAAGAAAACCTAAGAGAAAGGGAAAGACAAATTCATCGCAACCAAATCTAGGGTTCGGGAGTCGGTTACGCAAGGGGAAGGTATGAGCACCCCTCACGTCCGTTGTACTCAACGGGATCCATGCTTGTTGTCTAATCTATGGGTGAAAACTATCTAAGAAGTTGCTGCTAACGAGAGGTGAAACGGAAAGAACAGACTCGATAGGACATCGCCGCCCCATGCCTACGTATTCCCTCGTGCAATGAGAAAGTCAGAGTCAATATAGTTCGGAAAATTACGGGTGAAAGGTCGGTTAGGAGTTTTTGTGAGTGACGTTAAGTCTCTATTCCAGCAGTTAGGGACGATGCCTGTTTGCGGCAGAACGGGGAAGTAACGTACTCTTTGGGTAAAGGGTGGAAAAGAAAGAAGAGTGCTCGCTAAGACATCGTCGTCTTGTGCCTACATATTCTCATTTGGTATGAGAAATCAGAGCAGCGTAGTTTGGCCAACTACGGAAAAACGGGTCTCGATCGCACGGGTGCGAGAGAAGAAGGTCCTAGGTCTGGAACGCTTAAACGGAAGAGAATTGGATTGGTTTGGGACGCGCACTGCATTAAATCCTAAGACGTAGGAGCGAATGCGTCGCATATCGCCTAAAGGGCATACGCTAAACACTCTAGACAATGTGAAGAGAGACCTCCCCACTTATCATTTCCTACGTATTTAACGCTTGCAACTCACAACACTCATCGCAGGTATGAGTTTGAATTAAGGTTCGAAAGTGTTAGTGAATCGAATCGAGACACAATGTGACGCTAAACCGTCGTAGCTCGACTTATGAGGGAAGTCAAACTATAGGAGGTTGTGTAATTGATATCCGTGCTATGGACAAGATAGAGAAATGATATTGAGGATCATTCTCCAATTTAATCGTGTCGCACAGACCAAAAGAGTGAGATCTCGTCTTAATCGCAAGTATTATGTCAATTAATCGAAGGTAGCCTATCGCGATCTCAAAGTAAGAAGAATGACCCAAATGGTCATTTTCCATAGATTTGAAATCGGGAAGGTTATCGACTTCAATAAGTCAACGCTCACAAATTGAAAGACTTCATCGATCGAGGAAATTAAAATAAAAATCAAAATGAAGAAGGGATGAGGAGAGAAAGAAGGTGGTCTCAGATCCAACATTATTTATCAATAGTTTGACTAGTAACGGTTTATGGAAGTCTCGTCATCAACCAAAAAAGTGACGAAAATAACTAAAGATGAACAAAAGTCGAAAATGAAAACGACATAAAAACTTGGTCTCGGATCTATCATCTTTCATCAATAATTTGACAGAAAAACTTAGAGGTCTCTTCATCGACCCAAACGAGAAAATATGAAAATAAATCCTCAATAAAAAATAAAAACATTAAAAAATAATTTCAAAAAATATATTAAAATTTCTAACAAACTAAACTAGAAAACTCTAAGATTATATATATAAATATTATGAAACTCTAAAAATAAAAAAATATTAGAAAAGTATTGAAATTTCTAAAAAACTAATTAGATAAACATATTAAAATTCTACAAGTTCAATTATAAAAATATATTTACTTCTAAAAAACTATATTATAAAGTAAATGTTTATTAACAATCTAAAAACAATTAAAAAATATTTACAAATTTTACAAATTTTAGAAAATATACTTATTTATTTTTTCAAACAGAGAGAGGGGGGATACAAATCAAATGAGGGGTGAAAAAAAGAGATAGGAATCACTTTGGGCCAAGTGGCCCATCATCCCATCACAAGGAAAAAACGGCATATAAGGGTCAAAACGTAACAGGGGTGCGGATTTTGGAAGAAGCAAAAATGAATCAATTACACTTACAACAGATCCTTGTCAATGCTGCAAAAATTATTTGGGATTGAATGGTTCGGAATTGCGTCTTTGCTACTGCAGATCCTTGTGCGTAAATGGCCGGAGGGGAATCACAGTCTTTGAGGTAGATGAGTTGTTGCAGTATTGCTCTAGGTTGTCGTTGTTGTTGGAAGCAAAGTGGAAGGACATTCGAGTCGCGGTGTTTGAGTTTCGAGTTTGTTGTGAAAGGGCGTGGTTGAGATTTCAGATCAATGAATTTTGTTGTTTGAAGGTGGTTTCGGCGATTTGAAGGGAAGTTTGCATGGTGTTGTTCGAGAATGGAAGAGGCGGAAGCTTTCTGGGTTTGAAGATTTATGGATTTTTGTTGATTGTTAATGGAGAAGAAGGTTTTTCAGGTTGGGTCTAATGGAGGAAGGGGATGATGGTGTGAGGTTTACGCGGTGGTTTGGGAGAAGACGGAGTGTTTCGGGGATGTGGGTTTGCACAGGAGATGGTGAAAAGATAGAGGTTTGAAGGGAGGCCGTGTCTGGGTTGCGGATGAGTTGTGGTGAGGAAACGAAGGAGATGGTTATGGGTCAGAGATGAAGGAGAAGACGAGCGGTTGGTTTGATGAGAAGAGGAGAAGGTTTCGTGGACGTGGGTTTGCGAGGTGGCGGTCGGAAAATGGGTTTTCAAAATGAAGAACGTGATAATCAGTAGAGGGGACTGGGCGGCTGTTAGGGTTTCACGAGGTGGAAGACAATGAACAGGGACTCCCCCTTTATATGGAAGACACGTGACACTCCCTCCAACTATTTTTTGTCTTTTGTTCAATTTTCCAATAATTCTAATTAATGATTAATTCTGATTCTAATAATTGTATTAATGAATGATTAAAATTATTTTTAACTAAGTCTAAATCTAATTCTAACTATTAATTAAAATCTAATCCTAATCAATTAATCTAATTTTATTATAATAAAATCTATTTCTATTCTATTCTAATATCTAATTAAATAAGAAAAATCTATTCTAAAAAATATAATTAATTAACAACTCTATTCTATTAAAAAAAAATTATTTTCTAAGAATAAAAATGTAAAATTAAACTAATTATAAACTAATTCTAAATAAAATTAAAATTCTAATATATTCTAAACCTAATTAAATTATATTCTAAACTCTAGATTAAAAAACTAATTAATTCTAATAATTTCTAAAACTAACCTAAAACTAAATGAAAATTATCTAAATTAAAATCCTATTTAAATTAATTAAAACTAATCTAAATTAATTCTAATAAAAACCTAATTTCTAATAAAACTAAATACTTAAAATTCTATTTCTATTAAAATTATATCCTAAACTCTAATTGTCTAAGTAAAATCTAGTTCTACTTCTAAAAAAATTATTTAATTAAATTCTAATAAAAATCTAGTCTAAATAAAAATCTATTTCAATAATTCTATTTAAAACTATTTTATAATTCCTATTAAAAAATTTATTTTAAAAAAAAAAAATCTAATTTCTATTTTAAAAACTAAAAAAAGCTAATTAGATAATAAATCTTAAATCAATTTCTAAATAAACTCTATTCTAGTTAAATCTATTTAATATTCTAAAACTAAAATTTTAATATAATCTTAACTAAAATTCTAAGTTCTAATTTCTAATAAAACTAATTAATTCCTAAATTAATTAAGTTCTATTCTAAAAACTATTTCTAATAGTCTAATTTAAAACTAATTAAAATCTATTCTAAACTTAAAACCTAATTAACAAAATCTAATTAAATAATTCTATAACCCTACTAAATATTAACTATTAAAAGCAATAAAATTATGAAAATAAATCACAAAATGCCACGAAATAAAAACGGGAAAAGGGGCGAACACCGAAACGCAACAAAATAAACAACACGGACTGAACCACCAGGAAGAGAACAACCTTTCACCCAATTCTGAAATAAATCTCCTCATCTAAACTGGTTTAAACTGTCTAAAACACGAACAAAGCGGTTGTAATCTCGATAAATTCATTCCGGCTGATAGCATGGACAGTGTAACAACCCAATTTTCAATAACTGATTAATGGTACTAGTTAATTGGTTTGTATGATTTGAGTGAACTATTGGACTTAACTGATTTGTTCTATTTAGTAGAATAATGTGGACTTACTAAGATATTCTC